AATGAACAGGCTGGCGTGTTTAGTTAACATAAAAAATAGAAGTGTATAATTATTGATAAAAAAGAAACAACACTAGAGCCTGATAAGAATATGTCCATAAGAATACGAATGTCTTTTTATAATACATATTTCTTATTAAAATAAACGACACCTTAAATAGTAGAACAAGATAAAAAAACCTTAAAAGCTAGAAATCTTTACATTTTATTGGTCAGAATAGACAGTGAATCGCTTCTAATATTTTTTTTTGTACATTTCTCACCTTCTAATTAGAAAAACTGATTATTATCTGCGTAATCTCGAACATATGTAGCAATGAGCAACGTTCTGTTTTACAATTTTTACAACAGAACTGAACTAAACAGCATAAGTCGAAATAATCTATGAGTCAAAAACTTTATAACTCAATTCTTAGTTTCTTTCTTGATTTCGACTTATAGAAGTTCTTGTATACTTAAAAATAAACTCCTAACTAAAAATCTTGGTCAGTTTAACTCTGTATTAAGTAATTAACTTTTGAAAAATATGGAAATATTTTAAAACTAAGTATCTCCTCTTAAAATAAGCGAAACTCATTAAATACGGACGCTATGTGCGTCTTAGTCAGGAAATACAATTTAATTAAGTTTTGATCCCCTAAGACTGGAGTCTTGTCCTATGTGATACCAAGATGGTTATTCTTAGTAAGTTTAATATTTGCCATTTAATATATTAAAATAATTTATAAACCTTATTGAAACCGTGTATTTTATCATTCGACAAAAAATTTACAAGTGTATTGAATTTATAAGTGACAAGTCATCCTCGATACCTTTAAAAACAGTTATTACTGGAAATATATTGTAAGGGTTTATTCTATAAATAGAAAAACGAATTGGCTGATTGAGGAAATTGTGATGAAATCGGTAACGCCCTAACTTGATTTGCCAGATAGGAAGGGAACCGATGGTTTTCACCCCACCCTATTTATTACAATTGCCTGGTTGAGGATATGAACGTTAAAAATCGCAATTCTATAAAATGTACTGCATGTATCATTTGAAATGAACTCGTAACGAACTTTATATCTTCTTATTTTATTTTCTTATAATGTCATTAAATACTGCCTAAGTCATGCATCTGCATTATATAAATAAAGTGATAGTTGTGTGATTTTAATTAGATTTTCTATGCTTCATATGCATACCATATTCAAACCTGGCAAGTACCAATGTGATTTTTCGAAGTCATATGTACTTTCTGAGAGTATTTAGACATCACTGACATACGGTGAAGGAAAACATCGTGAGGAAACCTGGACTTATAGTTTCACAATTATAAGTTTGAAATCACCAACCCGTCTTGAGCAAGGGTGGTGATTAATGCTCAAACCTTCTCCATGTGAGAAAGAGGCCTTGCTCAGCAGTGGGCGATGATAGGCTGATGACATGACATGACATGCTTCATATTTTAGACACACGGCCCTATATTAAAACGAGATATTGTTATATCATATTTATATTATAAAGTTAGGTACATATAAAAGTTAAAGAAACGTTTATTTTGTTAAGGCGCCTACGTATTCAGCGTTGTGTGATGTATTTCAGACACGAAAACCGATTATATATGTATGTATATTTAAAAAAAGAGAACGAAGTCGCGGCTATCACCTAGTTTATCGTATTTATATACAAAAATGTTCTGTACGTAGAAGAATAGACTTCCATTTAATATATTACTAAGAGAAGTAAAATTAAAAACTCTTTTGGTTTCTTTGTTACCAGAATACATTAAACCATTCCCTTACTTAATGCCTTTTTTAAATCACGTTAGTCATGTGGTCTTAAAAAAAATGGTTTTCGTCACTCCTGTATAAGGTTACCTGTTATTAAATTACCATTTCCAAGAACATCTTATTGGTTGAAATTATATTAAATTATAGAGAAAAAAACATATTTTGAATTTGAATATACCGCGATTATTAAGATGATCTGATTTTGGAGATTATACTTTTTTTTCTTATTCGACACTGTTTGTATGCTAGGTAGCCTTTTCTATAAGAATATTTTATTTTCTATAATCCACATTTATCTCATACAGTCATTATTTTACCGCTTCCTTATTCAACTTCTTTCAATGGCCGGTTACGTCACCACTCACCAGTTATCCGTTGATGTTTGTCTTATCAACGGTTGCTATGCGGGGATCAAATAACATTTTATTATTGTTCATATAAGCCATACTCTTTATTTTGCCGCTTCTGAAAAATTATTGTGTATGTTTTATATTTTCTTCCCGAAAGTACATACTCAATTTGTAAACCAATGTTTTATAAATTGTTCAAGTTAAATGTTATTACGTAAATAAGGTCTACTACTACCTACTACATACTTAGTTTATCAATTGGTTTGAAATTTTATGAGTATGACCTAATTTAACGCTAAAGATTTGGTAAGACAGGACGCTAAATTTCGCATACGTGTTCATTTACATACAATCCAATATTAACTATGACCTAACCTAGTCCATGGTCGATTTATTCGGGCGATCTCTGTGAGTTTTACCCACTAAAAATATAAAATTTCATATGCGATTAGAATTATTTAACTATGCCGAAACTCTCGTAGGTACGTATGAGTATAATGTAAGTTAAATTTTATATGAACGTTTTAATATTCTTACGTAACCACATCGTGGGTTCCTGTCATTAAATTTTTACACATCTTTCGACCCATTTTCGTTTTTCGTGTACAGCTAATGCCGTTCGAACGTTATGGGATCGTAACATGCTCCGGGAATCGAACTCCCTGACATAATTCCATCATCGATCCGTTTTATGATGATCAATATTTGTTTGTATGTATGTGTGATGATTCCTTCTAGTCCAATAATAAAAAAATATGTTCACCAAATACATTTTTTAATATGTATTATTGTTAAATTTATTTATACGTATATTTTTTTTGTTATTTATTTCTTTATCTTTTTCTAGATTCTTGCTATGAAATTTCGGTCTTCAATTTTTTTATTTGATATGTATTGTAACAAAATACATTATACTATTTATAAATATATGTATCCCTTATTGAAATGTTAGTGAATATTTTTTTATATATGTATATTGTCACTCTAAAAAATATATTTGTACATAGTTAGTATATATATCTATTTTACGCATAAAAGTATAAAAATGCTTTAGTTTTATGTTCGCATCCTATTCAATTTTATTCCGTTGACATCGGGGGAGGCATTAAAAAAGCTTTCAAGTCCCCTGGAGTAGTTTTCACTTATTATAACTTAAGGGGGCTGCTATCAAATGTACAGCGAAATTTTTTAAAAATCCCTTCCTCTTCTTAATAATTCTAAAATGTTATTATTATTATAAAACTTCAAGCAACTATATACTATTACTATATCGTCTTGTAAATAACGCCGTCGTTTGTTTCTTAGTAGCATTCTAGGTTTAAAAATTGAGAGCTCTTGTCTTATATTTAGCTTGAAATCTAGGCCGGCTAGAGGTTTCTCTTGTATGTCGGCTGTCCATAGAGATGAACCTTATGTACAGTAAATTTTGGCACGATCACATTGTTAGTATGATTATTATTTTAAACGCTCCTGTTTTGGAACGGATGCAAATCATTAATTTTGTAGTTTATAGTCATTTATTGATTTCATATTACGGTTATTTATTGGAGCGTTACGTTCTTATCCCCTGTTTAATTTTTTTTTTATTATATTATATAGTTTCCGTATTTCGTAAATTGATCAATATAGTTAGTTAGTATTCCAATTGTGATATTAATCAGCTCGATAGAGCGTTGAAAGGGCAAGGGTTATAAGGGGTCGAATGTTGAAGTTATTAAATTGTATACTAATATTACTTTTGGTCCATACAATTCATTTATTGCCTGTTAAAATAATTAGTTGTAATAAAATTGGTTCTGTATTTTTTGTCAGTAGAATAATGAAGAAAAAATGCATATTTTATTGATTACTACTAAGATTTTGTCATGAGAAATTAAGTTGAAGTTTCGATAAAATGGGATTATAGTCTGTACTGACTTAGTAATAATGTTGGTACTCTCTGTATAATTATTTTTGTGGGTAGTTGTTTAAAATAGAAAATAAAAATTAAACATTTCAAGTTCTTAAACGCTTTACTTTTCACAAAACATTTCTGTAATAATACCAGCAATTTTTATTCTTTCCCTGTATTTTCATTACAGGCCTTAAAAATTAAAATGATTGAGTTTACAAATTATAATCCCAGATTTCTGGTTACATATAACCTAATATTAAATAATGTAATGAGTGAGGATTTATGAATGGAAAACTGTTAACCCTCTGTACGGAATATGACTTTGAGGTAATATTTACAAACATGTTTACATCTGGCGTTTAAACCAGTAAACATATAAACGTAATATTATTCATAAATTTCATTGCTATATTCAGTTAAGTCGTGGTGGCCTAGAGGTTAAAGACCCGCCTCCCGTGCATGAGGGTGCGGATTCGAATCCTGTCGAGTTCCAATGTGATTTTTTTCGAGTTATTTGGTTCTTTCTAAGAGTATTTAGACACCACTGATATACGGTGAATGAAAACATTGTAATGTAATCTGGAATTATGATTTCAATTATTATAGGTTTAAATTCACCCATCCACCCCGAGCAAGCATGGTGATTAATGCTCTAAATTTCTCCCTGTGTGTGTGTTAGGCCTATGCTCAACAGTGTTCACCAATAGGCTGATGATTACGATTGATATGTTCCAAACCTTGTGTACTATGTTAGAAAACTGATACGTCCCTTTGAATTTTTGATCACTTCTACTATTTTGAGTTGTCTATTTCTGTTTATAATTTATTGATTTTTATGAACTTGCCATAGTTTGATATATTGATCCACAAACATCATTATTATTAATCATTTTCGATGCTCTAGGTTTTGATACAAAGTGCAAGTTAATTATATTGAATTATTTGGTGTTTTCAGTAGTGCGGTTGAGGCGAGCTCGGCACGATGGGGAAGCTGCTGTCGAAGATCTTCGGCAACAAGGAGATGAGGATATTGATGCTGGGTCTAGATGCTGCGGGGAAGACTAGTATCCTTTTGATCTGCCCAAAAAATAAACTAACAATTACCTTACTATTTATAATGAAATTATTTTATCGTGTCCCTAATTTGAAATACAAATAAATACAAGAATGTCGACCTTGACTTTCACTTAGCATAATTCCATTATATTTATTTCTATTTCCATATACATACATACATTTAATTCATTAATAAATTTACATATATTAATATTTTACAGCTGCTTGATGGTTAACATGTATAAATAACTCATTCTACTATATAATATTTCTTATATATATAAACAGCTATTTTATATAAGTTAAAATTAGGTCAGTCAGTCACAACGATACCAACAGTCGGTTTCAATGTTGAAACTGTAACGTATAAAAATGTCAAATTCAATGTATGGGATGTTGGAGGACAGGATAAAATACGGCCGCTGTGGAGGCATTATTATACAGGTAAATATGACGCGAGCTTGATTAATGCGATGTTTGAACATTTGAAATGTATTGAATGAATTGGATAGAGAGAATACGAGTGGTTCATGTGGATATATTGTATGGTATATATTTTAGTTCTTAATCTTTGGGACGTCTGTTTACGGTATATTGATAATATAACATGTGAAGATGGTTGTATGATTTTCATATAAAATATATGTAGATTTCTTTTATCTGATTCCAAAGCTATTTATTTTTATTTATTGTTTGTATTGGGTAAGATTCAGTGTTAAAATGAAGATTAATTGTTCTTGAATTTTTTTTCTAGATGTGATTCTAATTTAACGACATAAATTATAATAATATTTGTCACATATTTTCATCTATATAATCGTAAAGGAACATCAAAACGTGGGTATTAATCTCGTGAGCTGAGCGGATGCTGCGTCCCACATGTTCGCAATCTGTGTGTAGAATGTTCCGATGATAGCTATATTACAATTAAATTTTAGTGTATACAAAATTCTTACTCTTCTGGGACACACATTGATAGCTCTGATATCTTAGGATGTCTTAGATTAAGATTTAAATTTAGATGTACGTAAGTAAGAAGATGGTTCTAAATTTCAAGCTGTATATGTTCCATAGTTTAAAAATTGTAATTTTAATTTTAATCCTGATTACGCTGTTTTTTCTTAATATCTGTTTTAATGTGATTATCTATTTCCACGTAATTCTGAATGTATTTTATAAATTTCCTATATTTTTATATTACTCTGAAGTTACGATCGACATCTTTATTTTATACATACTACGATGACTATTGTGGTTAAATACTAGCGTATATCTTATGTATGAGAGAATAATTATAATGTATGATACTTCCAGGTACCCAGGGTTTGATTTTCGTGGTGGACTGCGCGGACCGTGATCGTATAGACGAGGCCCGCCAGGAGCTGCACCGCATCATCAATGACAGGGAGATGAGGGACGCTATCATACTCATATTCGCTAACAAGCAGGACTTGCCCGACGGTACGTATACATTATACTTACTATTAAGTACTAGCTGCTCCCCGCGGTGTTACCCGCAGATTTCCGGGATTTTCGAGATTTCCGGGATGTAAAGTAGCCTATGTGTTATTCCTGGACGTCAGCTTCCTGTATACAAAATTTTATAAAAATCGGTTCAGCCGTTTGAGCGTGAAGAAGTAACAAACATACACACACACTCACAAACTTTCGCAATTATAATATTAGTAGGATTATATAGATGCTAAGTACTTGAAAATTGATTGTTTTTTGTCATTGTTACGAAATAACAGCTTATAATAAGATCTAAGTCTCACGAGTTGTTTTAAACACGTATAAAACCAAACTTTTTCGGATATTACTACGCGTGCTTTCATTTTGTAAACAATACATATTGCCGACGTTTCGGCTACTTTTCATCAACATTGATCACGGGCAAATATTATCCGAAAAATATTAGTTTCATTTAAAACAAAAGTTGATGTCTATAATTTATAAGAAGTTGATTAAAATGTTATCATATGAAAAAAAATCCAAGCACCTTAACGTCGCATTTAATAATGCATATTTTTGTTTACATTTAATTCGTAATAACAATAACATCTACCATCTACAATAATATACATTAACACAGCTTATACTGAGATGAACCCCTTGCTCCTACACTGTATTCTTTAAATTTAATTATTTTCTTCTGTATAATCTATGTAATGTATGTGTGTAGCAAATAAATGGTTTAAATGGTTTTAATATACAGGACTTAACATTCCATAAATAAATTGTTCAATCTACCATTCCAGCAATGAAACCCCACGAGATCCAAGAGAAGCTCGGTCTGACGCGCATCAGGGACAGGAACTGGTACGTGCAGCCGTCGTGCGCGACCTCCGGGGACGGACTGTACGAGGGCCTAACGTGGCTGACCACCAACCACAAGTTATGAGCTGCGGAGTAGGCGGGTAGCCGCCTCCATCACTTATGGTTAGTATAGAAATAGTATCATTATGTTGACTGCATTGGGGTCACTAATTAAATGGCTGGTCTTTGAGTTAGAAGCTGTACGAGGGTCAAACTGAAAGTTCTAAGAAAATAAAAAACTGATTACATTAGCCAGTTATTAGTTTTATTATATCTTTTCAAAATATTGGCCATTCACGTCAATACACCGCTGCATGCGATGGAACCACTGCGAAAAGCACTTGGCCCACTCGTCCTTAGGGGTCTCTTCAATGGCATCGCGATACGCAGCCACCGCTTCTTCAGCATTCATAAACCGCTTTCCTTTAAGTTTTTCTTTAATTTTTGGAAATAAATAAAAATCACAAGGCGCGTAGACGGGGATATACGGCGGGTGACCAAGTAATTCAACGTTTGATGTCGCCAAATAGTCCATCGTTCGTTTGGCGGTGTGCGACGAGGCGTTGTCGTGGTGAAGGAGGATCATACTGCGAGGTCGTTTCTCTCGAACTTTTTCCAAGACAAGTGGCAAACAATTGGTAGTGTACCATTTTGCAGAAACTGTTTTTTGATCCTCTAACACAATTGTTGCGAAATGACCTATCCTTCCAAAGAACGAGGCCACCATTTTTTTTCCCGCACTTCGATCTCTCTTCACTTTAGTTGGCAACTATTCGAAAGGACACAGCCACTGAGCAGATTGTCTTTTGGTTTCAGGATCATAACAGTAAATCAAGCTTTCGTCACCTGTTAGTATGTAGAACACAGCATTTGAGTCACCTTCATTAAATCTTTCAATCATTTTACGGCACTAATCCACACGATGGAGTTTTTGAGCCTCAGTCAAATTATGAGGTATCCACCAGGCGCAAAGCTTCCTGACCGCTAAATGTTCGTAGAGGATTTTGTGCACTTGACTCATACCGATGCCTAAGCTTGTCCGAATCTGCTGATAGGTCACTCTTTTGTCAGTCTCTATCTTACGCCGCACAACACAGATGTTATCTTCAGTCGTCGCCGTAGAAGGCAGTCCCTCACGTAAATAATCATTGAGATTAGTACGACCACGTTTAAACTCATTAAACCAGTTGTAAACAGTCGCACGAGATGGGGCCTCATCGTGCAAGGCCAATCGTAGTCTATCATAACTTTCTTGTTGACTTAAATGACATCTAAAGTCATAAAAAATCATTGCACGAAAATTTTCTCGTGTTGACGTGACACAAACAATTTTCAATTTGCCGCCAAATCGTAAAACAAATGACAAATATATGAACTATATACTCAGTATTGGCTAAGAGTTCTATTTTCAAATTTTAGAATTATTTTTTTATTATATTGTTATTAAGTGGCCATTTCTAAGAACTTTCAGTTTGACCCTCGTAGCTTACTTCACTTGGTTGTTAGTTTGGATATCACATTCTCTTATTTGCTACATTGGGGTCATTAATTAAATGGCCAGTCTCTGACTTAGAAGCTGTAGTTTACTTCACTTGGTTGTTAGTTTGGATATCACATTCTCTTATTGGCTACATTGGGGTCACTAATTAAATGGCTGGTTTTTGAGTAACATGCTGTAGATTACTTAACTTTATCATTATTTTGGATATCATATCCTCATGTTGTCAGTATGGGACAGATTAATTTGCTAATTTGTAAGATATGTAAGTCATCTGCCTTTTTGCTCTACGGTTAGTATGGTAACAGTATCCTAATGTTGGCTATATTGGAATTGGGTTTTTGAAAAAAAAAAAGTATTGATTTTTTTTATGTATTTTAAAACTTTATTATTAATTATATTGGATTTTTAATGCAAAAAACTTGAAATATTTTTTTTAAATTAATTATAAACAATTAAAAATTGATAAAATTCAAAAATATATCACGTGACTGTAAACGCGCCATGATTGGTCAGCATACTTGTGACGTCATAATGTTAAAGCAATTTCATAATAGTACAGTGTTTATGGCTATTATCTTTAACTTGATAAAAATATCTCAAATTTATTAGTGAAAAACGATTTGAAAAGTTTATTTCGACTATGTGTGATAAAGGATTTATAAAAGCAAAATCGGATAATATTCCTGATGTTGATATATTTATGATAACTAAATTTTTTAAAAAATGACGTTCGGTTTAATTCTGCTGAAGTTCGAGGTGATAAGGCATCAAGGTAAGTCTGTTAAAAAATACTATTCTAAATGAAAATAAGTATTTATTCTCTATTAAATATAATTAATAATTATTTCATTAAATCATTATTAATAAAATGTTATTATAACATTATAAAAAACCAAAATAACATATACTTTAAAAATTTAAATGTAGTCTGATACAGAACCTAGAATGTTATAAAATTATGAAAATCTATACTAATATTATAAAGCTGAAGAGTTTGTTTGTTTGTTTGTTTGTTTGAAAGCGCTAATCTCCGAAACTACTAATTCGAATTGAATAATTCTTTTTGTGTTGGATAGTCCAGTTATCGAGGAAGGCTGTAGGCTATATAACATCACGCAACGACTAATAGGAGCAAAGATATAGTGGTAAATGTGTAAAAAACGGGAGAAATTATTTCATCTTTGACGCCTTCCGTTGCGTGCTCCGTGAAAATGGTTCAAGATACACAAAAAATATGTATTAAAGAATAATAGCTCTTTTAATGATCTAAAAAACAGTCTGCGACAGTATATGTCTATCTTTTAAGATTAACTCACAAAAACCGTTTTTATGGTACCTAATTTGGTCGAAATAATTTGTTAAGTTGTATCAACATAATAATATTAATCTTTATTCAAATAAACAAATAAATATGTTGTTGGTTAAGAATACTTCATTGTGAATAAAAAAAAAACATAGGTTTTATCCTGAAAATTCTACGGGAACTCGATCATTCCGAAAACCCCGCAAGAACGGGAACTATGTGGAAAGAACCAAAAATCTGCCGGAAGTCACTATTCCACGCGGACGCAGTCGCGGCAAAAGCTAGTATCTATTAATTGAAGTCCAATTATTAGACAAACATACATATAGATTTACTATTTAATCGCTTTGAATTATCAATTAAAAATTTTTAATGCTACGATTCTAAAGGTTATGATTTGGAGCCCAGGTAAAAAAATTAATTATTGAACTATACTTATTCGATTTATACACTTAGATAAATAATAATTAATAACAATACTATTATGAATACTTACAACGACGTGATCTTCACAACAAAAAAAAAAAAGGATTTTGTTTTTGAATAATCTCGATGCACTGCTTGAAACCATTTCTTTCGACGTTTTTCGTCTTGTGGAACATTTAAAAACATTTTTTCAGGAGTTGTTTTTGTAGTCTTTGTACATAATAGTACAAAACTTTTGATTATTTAACAATGCCAACAGAATTTACTAGATAAAAACTCAAAACACTGTACTAATTATTATATCCCTGTATGCTACAATGAGCAAAAACTAACATTGTGACGTCACACGCGCTCGGGTTTATTCGCGAGCTGTCGGCGCATCTTCCGTACTGAAATTAAAATTTAATTTTTATTTTGATATAACTTTTTAATTATTGCAAAAAAAAATAAAATAAAAATAGTTTTGTTATAAAACTTATATATGATCTTTCCATTTATCACAAAAAAAATAAATAATTCAAAAACCCAATTGCAGATAAAGATTCAATTATTCGTTGTCTTCTACTTTTAACATAGAATTGATATTTAATTCAAATTAAAAATGTTCAATGTAATAAATTACTGTTATTTAATATATATTTTTTACTTTCCAGGTGAAAATAACGATGCCATGTAATGTAAGCTCGCTGCGTCCCATCCATATAATATTTTGGGTGTTTGTGAGTGTCGCAGTGAACTACAGGACACTAGTTAGTCTTACAGTGAACTAATTGTCACACAAATAAATCAATTATTCCATTTATTTAAAAACGAAACTTAGAGCTTTGTTGTAACGAAATATTTGATTATTATTATTTTTTTATGTTTATTTAAAAACGAACGATTACATAGGGTAAATGATTTTTTTATTATAATTTTTTTTTAATGTTTACCTCCGTTGTTTTGTATGATAGTTACGGAGTAATCTATGGACGGATGGATGAATGTTTAATACAAGTATTTATAAAGCAATAAAGAAAGCACGCCTGCGTATAGTATATTGTACAGTAGCTTGTCAAAATTTGTATGCAATAGAAGTGGGTGAACCGCTTAATTTTGGTTATTGGAATGCATAAAACCTCATTACTAATTTAAGTAGAAAATAATAATGATGCAACATTTTTACCGTATTAATATGATGAATATCCAAAAATAACCCCTTAATAATAAAGCGTTTATTATAATTTTGCTTTAATATTTTACGCTATGCTTTGGCTTTGTGTGAATATGTTAATTGGGACCATCCCTGTTTTTACGGTATTGGGAGTCCAGTCATTGAGCAAGTTATTATAATTTAAAACGACATTTCAAATAGTATTATAGCTGTGGGAATATAAGAAAATCAAAACCAGAATAACTTGATCCCTATTAAGGTTAGTGTACACCAGAGTTATGTATGTAGAGACAACCACATATTGAAAACGCTATAATGACAATTTTATTATAAGCTAATTTGATATGTTCAGTTCAGACATCTTTATACACTGTCGGTGTAAACACACCTTTAAATGGAATTATATTAACGTGCCTTCCTTCAAGCTTGTTCTGTCCATCCATTGAATATATTTTGTATAAAATTCGTTTTGTATATAAAGAAACGAAATAAACACAAACAAACATACCACCACTCCATTCCATTAAATATATAATTTGTTTAATACTCCTGTTTCTGAAGTTGTGTTGACTTTATTAATTGGATTTATTCAAAGGTGCTGGTTTAAAATTAATAAATTAATAATTTTTATAAAAATTTCTTGTCAAATTTATTCTTAAAACATTTTTTATGATAACACCAGCACTGAAAGTAATGTTTGATATAATGGAAAGATTTACATTAGTTATAAGATCTATAGTATACTATTTTGTTACTTTATTTGATTTATTTTTTCTGTATTTGTGTTAAACATAAAATAAAAATGTTTAATTGTTTATGTACGAACATTTCGAATGCCTTGAATTGACAGTAGTTACAATAGAGCACGGTAATGTATTGAAATGATTGTTATATAATGATTTGATCGAATCAAACAAAGCTGAATGTTTCTTTGTATATTATGTTATAAATAATATATGACATAAAAAATTATATAAATATATATTTTTTGCTAATCATTATGTAAAGTTAATTAAAAGATTATATGATTTTTTCTAGAAGCTTCTCAGTGTCCAAAATGGAGTGTAATAGTTTTATGGGAGTTCACAAAATGTTTATGAAATGTATTTAGTTTTAGTTAGGTATTCAAAGTGCTGAGTTTAAGAGCACCAATGGAAGTGTATGATTTAATATTTTTTTTATATCTGTTCATTGTAAATTATGTGAAACAAGGTGTGGTTGAGTTACAGTCTGCTGTATAATATTGTAGAAAAGTTATCCAATATAAATTCACACTTATAAATGTGACGTTTTATTTCATTCAGAAGTATCTGAATCTGAATCTGAATAGCATTTATTAACAAATTCTTTGTATTAGATGGAGTAAATTTCATTATCCTACAGAATGAGACCATTCGGTGAGTGCTCGTATACTTAGAATGTAAAATTACAAATAAAAAAAGAAATAATTGCAAATAAGACACAAGAAAATAGGGCATCAATAATATCTTGAAGATTTTACTTGGAATTGTTTCGGTAATTACAATGTTAAAATTATATAAATGCTGTTGTTATTCACTTACTGGGGCATTGGGCATGCATTGCACCGAAACATATTTCCATATGATCCTGAAGGGGTTTATTCGTTGAAGGAAATCTGAAGCTTCCTGATTCAATGAGTTTAACATACAATTCTAAATAAACTACAGTCTTAGCTAGTAAACCATACATGCCAAAGAAAATTTCTTTGAAGCTTTTTCAATCTACCAGCTTTTTGTATCCATAATTGAGCATTTGCTTAGGAATTTAAAAGGGGTTTTGAATGAAAAATATGAAATGTGATTCTTAATAACATTTTATAGTATGAAATGACATGTTTCTGTGAATCTATTTGTGCAAAAATTATAATTCAGCTGTTGGTAGTTTTAAAATACTAAAATTTAAAAGTCAAACATGTCAATAGCATGGTATTTACGTGTGAAATTGAGTATTGATTCATGATTTTACTTTCTTAGACCAGTTACTCCAAAGTAAATGCATACATATGTAACCACTGTTATCAAATTATAATCAAATACTTAAATTAATAAAATTAAAACTAATATATTGCCTCATAAAAAGCAAAAAAAGGGTTTGCGAAATAGCGACTTCTAGGCAAGGTGATAGCGTATACGTAAACGGTCTCAATCTATCACACACGCTATTGATTTTTTTCTTGAGCAATGAGAATTGAGTATTTTTTGATTTACATATACATCATAGGTATATGAAAATGTTTCTTTTGCCCAAGAAAAAAAAACCAGTTGAGTGCAATAAAATCATTAGCACTGATCCTCCTCAAGAAGACCATACAACATTACAGCCTCTACATAGTTTTCTTAATTTTTTTCGAAACATCAAAATTTAATTTTTTGAGAACCTTCCATTCTTATTAAGCTTACACTCTCGTCTCGGCCCCACCCTTCCCCTAACTTTCGTTCAAATCTTTTATTTTACACTTATTATAGCAAAAATAGGCCCTTTCATGTAATCCCACCATCATAAAAAATTTCACAATTTTCAAGGATTTTTCAGAAAGGAGTTTTAAGTTGGGTGTAAATGTAAGTTATTCCAGTAAGGAGTTGAGGGCAGCAAGATCGATGTTAAAAACAAGAATAGCGTTACAAAATAAATCTTAAAGCCCAGTATTAACCGCAAAGGGCAATTATAATAATTTGCATTGTTGTTGTAATAGCTTTCAGCAATCCCATAGCTAACGATAGAAGTCTGTTTTCACATGGTAGGTTTATAAGATCCAGTTAGCATTACATTCGAGTCATCAAATGGTTTAGGGTCTTTGGTTTGGACCCCTATCATTCTGGAATGAGATTGCGAATTCGTATTCCAATTGCCATCTCTTCGGCTTCAGTTTATTAAACTGCTCCAAGATCCATGTATCCTTGTTATGTGATATTGACATAGTTTAGTATAAGACGAGTTTCATCAAACATCAGAGGAAAAATGTATGAAAATATTTAAATAGTAACTATTGAAAGACGTCATGGTTTTATTTTCAAAAATTACCTATTAAATGAAAAACAACAATTCTGCTATATCCTTACTATTCGGGTACTCCTTATCTATATAAAAATTAGGGCACAATATTGCCCAAAATTATCAATCCTATATTATGCCTCCAAACCAATACCACTCAAGTGTTACATCAGTATCACAAGTATGAGATATGCAATTCTTTGTAGGTACGTATAGACTTCACACATAACAGTAGGTTTCGGATATATATATTTTTTTTGGGTATAGAAACAAAAATACAAAAATAATGATTGAAATTGTTTATTATCTCCTAATTTCAAAAAGTTATTTTTGGCAAAAAATATATCTTCAATATATAAGGAACTGCCCCCCGCTTATTATTATTTATAAAAATAAAACTCAATATCCAATTGCGTTAACTTTCTTGAAAATATGGAAAATTATTTTGCAAACATTCCAAGCCGTCAAATAACATTATTAACTAAAAAAATCGTTTATTATCCAAGTCAGATACATCATCAGTTTTCCAAAACCCCTTCTAGTATTAGCCACGATCCTTGTCATTAAACGTTTAGTCAGAATACCGATTTTCATTTGTTACTTTGCAAGTTAATATTCCTATTACAATTTGCTCGAACAATTTCTCATTGAACTAGTTGTAGAAGAATCAGCAGTGACGTCATCGCAACGAGGTGGTAATATTATTTGTAATTCCTCATTAAGTTGAATTTCGTCTTCTGGTAAAATGTCTTCTGCAACCCGATTGTCAATGTCCTCAATAGCGCTTGCATCTCTATAAAACAAAAACTATTTATAAGGATCTTGCCCTTTTTGTTTATTATGGGATATCAATTTTCAAAGTAATGGAACTTATATCTACAAAAGAATATTTTTAAAACAAGTAGTAAGTACCTGTGTTAGCTGTACTCTTTTCGGTTAAAGTATTTCCTACAAATTCAATAATCACATCTCATAGACCATGACTCTCTCTTATCTTTCTTACCCTAGCTGATCGCCAGTTTTGTCTCCCGCCAATATGGAGGTGTATAGCCTGGCACGAGCCCCATGCAGCCTCAAGCCAGCGGGCACATCTTCAGAGCCGGTGCGCATCTCAGGGATCGGGTGGAGAACATTTCCTTAAGAAATGAAGCATGCTTTAAAGAAGTAGGTACTCTTAATGGAATACTCTAGTCAAATAAGGAATTAATTACGTTACGTACAAAAACCATATCATATAAAGACATAGAATATGTATAGCATTAACATGGGTTTTGCACGACTATAAGGATTTTAAAACTTTATTATTTTTTTATAAGTATTTCTTTGGCAATGAATAAATCCAATAACATATGAAGAGTTGTTGCTTATTTTATCGGGAGAATGAAGAATTTAGAAACCTTAATTTTCTATAAAGTTCCGATATTGCTATTCTGATAGATACTATTTTTTTTTGGTAATGAAGCCTAAGTAAATATAAATATAAGTAGATATTTAAAAGTATTTATCTGTTTTCGTTTCTAAGCTACCATCGACAATTTCTATTCAAGTTACACTAAATATTTTAATGAAACTACCCCCTTAATAATCAATATGCTTAATTGGATTTTCAAAAGCGAAAATATTCTACGCACTTAAGTTAGAATACTTAAACGAAGTAATACTTTTAAATTTCCTGGTTAATCTGATAAAAACAAATACAACAGAAGCATTCCACAAAGTTGTAATTAAACCCAACGAGATTATGTTTAACTGTTTCGGTAAGGAGCGACGGCCAAAGTAAAGCAAGTTATCATATTATTATTTATCTAAAAAAGTGTTTTGTAAATTACACGATGTTGCCAAACAATTATCGCGGGAGAAAAATTTTACAATCGAAATATTATGAAGCAATATACCATTTATCAGCTGTGGGAGCCATTAAGATATATCACACATATTGTCAGTCTTTTTCTCCAGCTATATAGGCAGACATTTAGATTTTGGTAATTTCTAACTCCGACTTTCAAATGGAGTCGCAAAAACTAGTATATCTCAAAACTGGGTAAAGCTAATTAAGACAAACGAGTATTCCGTTGCAATAAATATATGTAAATTGTATTTCATATTTTTACTAGGGACAAACCAGCGAGATAATTCTTACGTGTAAGTTATATTCCATTACTGAATTTTTCAGCTCATTTACCTGTACCTCTTAAATTATTATTATTACGTAGAAATATCTAACAAAACGGCCACTCAAGGAATAACATTTTAACATTTCTAATGATTTTTTAATACGTTGTTACTTGTTTGTTGAATAAAAAATTTATTCAAATTTGATTATCGACCAAAGAAAACAATAATTCTGTATCCTTGACTAAAAAACAAAGTATTACACTACACGAAATATACTATTTCTTATTTCCAAATATAGAGCGGTCTATTGAATAATTTCAGTCCTAATCTGTGCTGTTTCAGTATGCATATTAAGGCTTTAATATTAATGAACAATACGTTGAAACTTACCGAGAATTAGAATACGAAATTTTTCGTATTGTGTGGATAAAATTAGGTAAAAGTTATCTTACCGTCATCTACATTAACATCTGTCTTTTCTAGTTTACTCTTGGATATCTCGTCAGGCGGTATTGGCACACGTAATATGTTCTTATGGTTCTCTGTATTGCGAATTAAAAATTTAAATTCTGAGAGAATATATTGCTTTAAGGATGATCATTAGATATATAGCGTCAGGGAATACATTAATTTGTATATTACAAATCTCAACCATATCTCACAAACAAGCCGATATATTTCTTACAAATGGTTCGATCTATATATTTTTTTATTTTGCTTATTAAATATTAACCTTTTTTAGGCCCCTTCTTGGGCAAATCTGCGTAACCTCGGAACAGAGTTTCTAGCTCATCTGCTGTCATTCTACGCAAGTACGGAACCCGCTTCAAGTCAGGGCGATGCAGACATCTGAACGAATTTCGATGCTGAAAATAAAGTCGTCAGTCTCAAACTATTAACAAATAAGGTGGTCGGAACTTATTAGCAAATATTCGCATAGTTTGTCAGAATACCTTCATCAACCCTGGAGGTACTTGTAATTTTTCACAGGCGTATGACATGCTTAAACTCTGAACTAGCCCCTCGTGTTTTACAGAGATCGCTGAGAGTCCACTGCGCACCAAATCAGCATTAATCTGTGTATTCAATATAATTGATTATATTACTAAACTATAATAATAAATCCACACTAAATATAATTTACAAAAAAATGAGGTAGAATTCTTTCTTACTAAGTATACACAATTCTAAAGAGCAATTTATTTTATCGGGAGAGAAATGATTTTGTAAATCAGCTTCCAGATAAGTAGACCTTTTCCAGTTTTGATAGACGGGTCTAATGTTCCAAACGAGTTGTTCGCTATAGAACGTTTGTTAGTGGTTGGCATACACAGCCTTTTGGTTTCCGTTTCTCAAGTGTTTTTGACAGGCGATAGCAACCGCAGGCTATGAAATAACGCACTGCTAGATATAAATTTTTGAGGAAAAAATTTAAAACATTCAGATGAATTTGGCAGAGAATATGATAAAATATTTTATATTTAAACATTAGAATGCTTTGAAACTTTCGTTCTTTGTATTTATATTTATCATATGTGCTCTTAAATATCTATTTTAGCTAAATCAGAAGCCGATATGACAATTATCATTTAATGTGCGGGAAGAAAAACGTATAGATTTTGCGATAAAAAGTAAAATTAAATGACTTTTTATGTATAGCAATTTCAATACAATATCAATTTACCTGTAGTTCTCTGCCTTCGCAGCATGGCACCAGTGGCGGTAACTCTTCCTTTATTTTCTGAGCCCCGCTCATATCCGTTGCCATGTTATCTCCACTCGCTACCGGGTTCATTAACAAAATGGAAGCGTTCGATGATCGCTTCTCCTTTAGTTCGAAGTTGTCTGAAGAGGCATCTCTTATACTAATGTTAAATTTTCCAATATCAGTTACATTTAACATAGCCGTGTGTTCATGTAATAGATGCATTTTGTTGGTATTGTATTCTTAATTTTTGAGTGCTTAAGTTTTTCAGTGATTACATTTTCACAAAAATTTTTACACTGCTCTGACATTTCCATTTTTAAATGTTGTTTGCATTACTTTTTTTTCTTTTCTACAAAAAGGTTTATTAAAATTTTTAATTTTCTTTAATCCTAGTATCTTTTGTATTATATTTTAGTTATATAACGACTAGTAATTTAACTTTATGATCAAAGTTATCAAGATGTAAAACTAATTATATAGGACGCCATTCTTGTTAATTATGTGGTTAAGTGACGTGTATCGGTTGAGGATCACGTAGCGACACTTTATTAAAAAGAACCCTTGAAAATAAGGGAAGTAGCTCATTTTACAGCTCCCTTCTTTCTGGTTACGAATAATTGATGGTAAAATTTGCATAGTGAAATCAATAAAATTCACATATGTAGCACCTTTATCTATAGTTTAATATTAATACGTAAAATTTAAAAATCAATTTTGTATTGGAATACTTTTAGCAATGATTTTTGTTCCAGTTTCACTCACCTGTGGCTTTCTACATTTTCTATAACTAATTTCAAGTTATGAGATACAATTTAAACGTCGTAGAAACTAATCAAAAAGATATAATATTTGACATTTACAAAAGTTGTGTGTAATTAAGAGACGCGACGTCATTAAAAGTTCCTCAAATATAACGAGTTATTTGCTCGGAAATAAACATGTTCAAATATTTATTAAAATGATTATTATTTACTGTGTGAAATTGTTGCCCGATGGTTCATTAGATAAAAATAATTGCTTTAATAATGAAATTTAAAATATATATTTTTTAACGTTAGCTGTTAGATTTTATATATGTAATTAAAATTATTATATATAGGTACAATTATCATAAATTAAAGACACTTTTGAATGTTCATGTACGCTATTTTGTTTTTACTTCTGTTATTTTGCGAATTCATCAATTGTTTGAAAAACTTTATCTAATCTTGTACGATATATATTAACATTACTATAATGCTAATTAGTGTATAGAAAACCTTCTTTAAAATCGTTATGTTAAAATTTACAAAGCTGTATGTTTTATTACTAGTATTCTTTAAGCACAAGGAGTAAGTATTTGTACTATATAAGTATTGTTATGCGTTTTGTTTCTCACAAATGAGTTGTATTTACCTTCTCTGATTTTCACTAATCTTTATTAAAGTTAAATCCTAAGCTTGGAAACAGAAACTCCTAAAAATAGCGTATTTAATTCAACTTAAAATATGGAAACAAGAGGAATTTACCATAAAAGTACTTCAAGATTGATTTAACAATGATGTCATTGTATCAAAATGCCTCTTAAAATCACCCAAAAGATCGTTGGAGATCAACTTAATGAAGGCTTTTTGGTTAAAATCTAAGTCAATTTATCTAAAGGGGAACCTTTATCTTAGGAAATCCCTAATACAGTTCGGAGGAAATGGAAAATTCAGACGAGTGACTCAGGAAGGATTTCTATTCAAGATTCATTTCAGAACATAAGCTCCTTAGTGTATTGTATACCCAAATTGATATTCTAGGCAAAAAAAGAAAGAAATGCTTTAAAATATAAAGTTAAAAAAAGGTACAAAAGAAATACCACAGCATTAAAACTTTATTAACAATATATAAATTTCTACATAACAAATTTTTTACATTTAAAAAAGTTTACAAATACGTTTTTAGTAAAAATCAAAAACAGACAGTATATGACTTATTAAAAACGATTTAACCATTCGATAGCAGAAGTAGAATCCAAAAAACTTCTAAAAATATTTCTATCCAGCCGATACATTTCCAGGAGTATAAAAATCTTTATTATCTTCCGAGTTTAAGTTTAATTTCTGGAAAAAAGAAACCAAACACAACATTAATCCTTTTCACCAATAACTTATATTTATGTAGGTAAGCAAGTTTGTTTATAAAAATTGCATCCTTATGGTGTAAACAGAACAGAAGGGTTCCTACATTAATTAATATGGATATAAAAGTCATATGTTTTCCATCATGAAAATATAGTTAAAATTATAAAATTCGGTACTGAATATTAAAAAGTTTCAATAACTTTTACGTACCATATTGAAACTTTAATCAAACAAGCTCGCCCGTAATGTGCTGATGAATTTCGGTAAAATGTATGCAAATTTTGCGATTCTCCTATATTGGAGCCGGGTTTCAGACTGGGTAATTTGTTTTAATAAAGTTGGAGTTATTAAAACGTTGTTACGAATTCGGTAATAAGATAATAATAATATAATAATAATTTCTGTTCCTCAACAGCAACCTTATATGGGCGGAACATGTTCAGCTTCAGCCTCTTTGCATGCCTTTGTGCAGTGTAATTCTTACGTCACCGCCAGTACTACTTTGAAGATCTTACCAGTTTCGCCTTCTCTTCCTTCATCTCTCTCATCAGTGAGCACAGTATTCTGTGTGCGAGGAACTCGCTAGCTCTTCTGACGTCCGCACAATCAGGACTCACACGGCTGTCCACCACCGCTTGGGACAAACCCTCAACGGCCTCACCCCACTCCACTGCAATTAAATTAACGTTTGGAAACTTATTTAAAAACTTTTCGCAAACTGATTTAGATAAATAATATTTCGCTAAGTATTTCTGTTTCATCAACTATATCGTACATTTTCACTCAGTAGAAAAGCTATAGAACAAACAAGGGAATAATCAGTTGAAGGTTAATTATCATTATAATAATAATGAATTCACATAACTACAGATATATATTTAAGGTCATTTTAAATCGGCAGTAAATAATATTCACCAGCAAAGATTATTAATGAAAAATTTCGTATCTTTGTTCATATTACTGTAATTTTCAATAAATAGTTAATTCTATATAACAAACTTGGATGTCTCATATTTGGTAGCGTCACTTTTCCCACTGTCAAGTCCATTCCCTTGAACACTCTCTGAATGACCGATCGAGACAGCAGCCTAGCTGCCACATTCACCATCTGTAACATTTATATATTATACATAATCAAATATTTTAGTATTTAAACCTAAATAACTTATAAGTATTTTAATCAAAAATATTTCAGTAATTATCATTGGTACGTCCACGTTAGTCTATTTAATATAGTAAAGTAACAGGATATAGTTTTTAATTGAATTTGATAGATAAATAGCATTTTGAAGTAAACTGTACATCAGAGCGCGCACGCGACACAGTCAATATGTAGCCCAACAATCCAATTACTGATTTGGGTCAGTGTTGCTTCATCAGCAGGATGTTTCGATACACACTCCCTTTATATACTACAGTTTCATTAAAACCAACTTTTATATCTAAAAAGTACAGAAATCTAAGTGACTTCTACATAAAGAAGTCCCAATTAGTTGAAATCTTCTTAGAAGATTTTCAAGAAAGGGAGGCACTTTAAAATTTCGTTTGAACGTTTTCAATGCACCATCTCAAAGCTTTCACAAGAAGTTAAAATGTATACATTTAAATCTAGTTTAAAGTTTATTTTACGCGGTATATTTTCCTTAAGGAATGAAAAAAAAGTAATTAACTTTTAGAAAATAAATTTAGTCCATGGCATCACGTACACAGGATTTATGGTTACTATTTTGTAGAGTTAGTTCAAAAGCAGCACAAACAAATGGAGCGAGGAAATTGCGAACTGATTTAAATCTACCTGACGCGTGAACAATATCCGCTAAGTGATTGTCGTATAATGAGATAAATATGTGTAAATAAACAATATTTTCTATAGGGCATAGCCGATAGAGAAGATTCGTAAGCATTGTGGCTAATTAAATTTGGTAAGTAACAAAAAAATACACTTTGAATATATAGGTATAGTTGCATAGTTTCCATTAGACGGTTTAATTTAAAAATATCAGTAATTTTAAATATCTCCTCTAGTAACTGTTGAAATGCATACCCTATACCTTTACGTAATTAAAACTTAATTTAAAAATAACATTTTTAAATTATCTATTAGGAAGAAAACTGTAAAAGAACTCTGTAAAAAATAAAGATAAATGAGAAACCTATTCAATAGTGCAATAGTGAAATGTGAAGCCATACGGCTGCCCTAGATATTAATGTTTTCTCAGGTTATTACTTTTAAAACTTTTGCAGAAGGCTCAAACCGCATGAAATTCGATTGTCGCAAAATAAAGTAAATAATAAAACTTTGTATCCTGATCAAAAGGGTCAACAAAGGGAATAAATATAATATGCAGGGATCCTTAGCCCCTTGTTGAGATCCTCAAAACATATAGAAGTTTTATTACAACCTGAACAATGTTTTCTTTAAACATAGTGTTTGTTTTCGGTTTCAATATCAATATTTTTATGTTTGTAAATAGATAAAAAGTATTTTGTATCATACCTCTAGTAGCTTTCTTCTCTCAGGTAGGAAGGTCGGTATAGAAACAGGATCGGGAAGATCTTCAACGCGATCTGAGAACGTCACTTCTGCCAGTTTCGTCATAGACGGCTGCGTAGAGGAAGATTAAAGCATTCTTAAAAATATCGATATAAAGTAATTAGTAAAAGAAACGATCCTTCGTAGTAGACAACAGGAAATAATGTATTAATACCATATGCTTCGTTCATATGGAATACTTTCTGAGATAATAATGTTATAATCTGTAACATTAATTTGGATAAAAATGAGTATAAAGATTACGTCGTATTACCAATTATAAATTACATTCATTCACTGAATTGAATTAAAATGTATACATTGAATATAAATATTTGGATTATTATTTGTACAGAAGTCTTCGTCTATTCAACAAATCATATTCAACAAGAGAATTTTACTTCTCTATATTATTTAAACCTACATATGTATGTAATTAAATTGAAAACTATTTAATGTATTATAATAAAATAAAATGTATCATAATAATATGAGTATCATACCACAGGCGTAGGCGGTCTGTCCCTACAACTCTTCATCTCAGTTTCTACGAAGTGTTCATTAGGTATGTCTTCAACCTCACCAAATACTATTGTATTGTTCCTCGAATAATGCCTTGTCAACTCAGCTTCAACTTGCATACACCATCTTGGTGTTTTTGATCTAAGGATTAACGTTTTAATTATTACAGTAACATTATAGCATAGCAAGAGTCAGTGGTGGCCTAGTGGTTAAAAGGTCCGCCTCTCATGCCTTAGAGCGTGGGTTCGATTCTGGCCCTGGCAAGTACCAATATGATTTATCGGAGTCATATGTACTTTCTAAGAGTATTTACACATCACTGATTAATGCATTCGCAAAGAGGGTTGATGTCAGGCAGGCGGCCAGTCGTAAAAAAAACTTGCCAAAACTATTCACAACATGTAAGGCAGACCCTGGCTAAACCTTCGAAATTGCCAGGTACAAGAAGAAGAATAATACTGGTATAGCAAAGTCAGTAATTTATATTTACATATATTTTAATGAGATCAAAGACATTAGCGCATATTTATTGAAATGAAACTAATATTATTTGTATTATTACGCGTCTCGTCTGCCCGTGACCACAAATTGCTGAACAGTAACTAAAACGAAAACGGAGTATGTTGTTTTTTAAAGTTATAAAATACGAGTAGTAATCCGAATAACATAAGTTACATTTATATTATTTAACTATCGATGATACTCATTTTATACATTACCGTTTCTTCGGACTGGGAGGTCGTATGCTTTGGAAGAATACCGACGCAGATTTAGAGCGAACCATTCTTTGTATATCTCGCAATAACGTATCCACATGTCTCCTCGAGAACTCTAATATTGCAGTTTCTAGCATCTGAATTTTAAAACGTTTATGTAATAAAAAATCATCAGCCCTATAAATTAAACATCATAGCAAGAATTGTTTTTGGTCTTTGACGCGATTGAGGTAATTTGATTGAAATCGAAACTGTTACATTTCTAAGAAAACTTTCCATTAAATTATTATATAGACAAAAACAAAACTTGGACTTGATGTCATGATAAGACAGTTATAGATACGTATTTGAAAACTTGTTAATGAATTATATGAAATCCATTTTTATCGTTTAAGATAATTCATACCTCATCCAACAGTTTAATGGGCGCTGTAGGTAGAACTGTCTCCAGATCCATACGTGCACGGGCCTGTCCAAGAGTCATGAGCCTATCTCCTTGAGTAGAAACAGCTGAAGTCATTGCTTCAGCAGCCAAACGCTGCGCCAACTCTTGACTCATGCCTTTAGCGCCTCGTTTTGACTGATTCAAAAAAATACTTAATTAAAAATCAATATAAATTTTCTTTACAAAAAATTACTATGATCATAATGACTGTCATATCTTTATTAAATAATGTGAGCAAAAGTTTTAAATTGTTAGTAGGTTGTTTCTGTTTAAATGATGACCATTATTAATGTTGCATTTAAAATTCTTTCCTTGCTGCCATTACTCTACGCAGGAGAGACACTACTAGAAATAAATATTAGAACAGAAACATTTCAAGCTTGAATGGATTGAATCTAAACATACATATTTATATATACAGAACTCAATAGGGCAAGTAAGTAAAAGAGAGCGTATTCACTACGTAGCGAAGCTTACGAGTAACTTACCTTTTCAAATTCAATTCCCATTTTTCTAACGAGTTTCGCTGCTTTTGCCGTTCCTCCGTGCATAAGTTTCAAGTTTGCAAGTCTGATGCGTTGCAACTCCAAATCAGTGTTATATGCGTATATTTCCGCTTTCCTGTAGATTTACAAAAATATATTGAAAATCAGTATCATACTTATTTTGACAAAGTGACATAATGATAATACAATGTAATAATATAAGGCCTTTGCACGTTTTAACTAGATTTAACTCAAACGTGTTTGGCTATTTTAATTTCATAAATATGTAGCTGTTAAGCTTAAAACTACCAAGTTATTTTTGTGAACAAAACAAAAAATCGAAACTTATTTAATCATCAGAATAAAAACTAATATTGATTGTATCTGAAAAAATCACTTTTCGTGTTCTAATAAATAAATAAATAATTACTTGGCCCGCCTCGTAGCAGCTGCTTTCATGTCCTCTGTGTATAATTTAAGGAGAAGCGCTTCCTCCTGTATCTTCAGATTTTGTGCTTCCACACGTGCTTTCCATTTGCTATTCGCCTTAAAAGATTAACAAGCACTTGTTATTAGTAATAGAAATAAAAAAGCCGAATAAAAATTGGTATCAAAATAAATTTTGCTAAGATTTTGAAGAAATATAACTTCTTTTTTAAAATACACAGCTAATCTTAATAGAACTCAATCGAATAAAAGATAAAGATCAAATTGGATTCGTAATTGAAGTCGTTGACGCTCACATAGAATAAAAATAAACAGTTAGAATGAAGTACTCTTTTTCGGAGGCAATTGACATTATGTATGTTCATATTTGTGTATTTTTTTTAACATGCTAAAATGTGTCACTAAATTGTATGAAAATGCAATTTGCTTAATTAATTTTAGAGTATATTCAAAAGTCTTGTTACAATAACAAAATATTTAATAGATATATTTTATAAAAACGAGCAATTATACGAATTTGGTTCTTCAAAATGCCATTGACAATCGGTCTTTTAAAAGTTTGGATTTTAATTTACTTAAAAAAGGATAGAGGACTCATTAACACTTTTATGCTATGACTTAAATTACAAGCAACATCACCCTTTTTTAATTTTAGAAGTCCACCCTCTGAATAATCGTTTAATTGAGTATAACTGACTTAAAAACAGCGTGCAATAGAAAAATGCTTATGAAAACGTACCTCATCTTCTAGCCGTTTCTGTTTTGCTTCTCTTTCTTCCTTCAATCGATTCAATCTCTTCTTCTCATTTGTTCTCCATTGTCTCACCATAGTTATCTTACGTCGCAGTTCCATCTCCGCTGCGGCTTGTACTCTCTGTTTAATCCTATTCTGTTTTTCATGAGCCCTCGCCGCTCGCTCTTTACGCTGTTTTTCATTAAACTCGGCCAAATATTTCATTCTAGCTTGAATTTTCTTTTCCTGTTCCTTAGCTCTACATTTAGAATTTTTTTTTTATTAAGGGTGAGTTAAATGTTCAAAACGTGCAACTGTTCTAAGATACTAAATAAAACTATTGTTTGGTCTTTTCGTAAAATATTTTTTTTAATGTTATAACCTACTTAAACATCCACCTTATCATATATCAGGATGATATAGCTATGGAAAACTCTATTAGATTTTTTTCTTTTCAATGAAAATTTTTAGTTCCACGTTGTAAGTAGTTTTATTAGAGTATCATATATTGAATTCAAATAACTACAACCATACTTATACGAGTATATTACTACTCACACATGTAGATATGTAAATATAAGTTAGAGAATTTAAAGTGGGTCTATGTCTATTTACGAATAATCGAATTTAATTTTGTACATTTCGCGTTACATATGGCTCTTGTGTGAAACGCTTTCCTTGCTTTTAATTAAAACTTGAGGGTCAGAGCCATTAATTTAAGCGTTGAAAGAAAAACATCAAAATTCCTGCTAGTTTCCCTCTTATTTGCTTAGAACTCATTGAGTCGATTTATGAACTCAGCAATTTAGAAGAAGTTGTCGACCAAAAACCATACATTTTGAAATATATTTATTATCTAAAAACATAGTCTCAAAAACTTCTCAATTAATTACTGTAAAGAAAAGGTTTAAAGTAATATATTTTTAGATTCTATTATATGAATATTTTTTCATTATTAAGTTTGAAGTGAATATTTTGCTCATCAATAAATTGAAAATTTCTTTTGTATGATTTATACAATTGAACATAAAATTATATTTCAAAACCCAATGCTAATCCAACATGGCTATAGAATTTGTAAGCACACGGCTACTGCATATGAACATCAGCCGTTTGGTACAGTGCTAACAGCGCTTGACGAATGACTTCGTTAAATGGGTTATGCAAATGAGTTAGTTTACAAGTTCCATGAAAGCCTTAGATTGCGAAAGACGAGTCAGGTTGATGAATACATTAAAATGTAATTTTAGAATACCAAGGAAATATTTACAATTTTCTTATCTTAATCATTGGCAAATAAATTTTTAAGAGTACATTTAAAGATAAAGCAAAAGGCGTTGCTATAACTCTTTGAAGTCATTCGATCATTGAATTCTCCTCGTAAACAAAGTGACGTAATAGAACGTATTCTTTACGATGTTTGTTCACGTTAAACCGAGATGATAAATGGCTGTCGACGATGTCTCCGAATATTGCCAATAAAAGCTGGGAACTTAGGTATTTTCATTGCCATTTGTGGATTTCACGAGTACCTCTAAAAGGCGTGCGGTTATAAACTTAGAATATAAAAAGAAATATATACATCTCATAATTCACTGGAATTTAATTAACGGGAATATCATAATTCAATAAAGTCATATATATATTATTAGCGAATTCCAGCATAGTTTATTCAACTTACAACCTGAAAGCACTTCCATGGTCATATTTTAACGTCGTGTTGTCATGGCGAACGTAAAAAACCTGGCACTATGCCAACTCACCTGTTCCTGCCAAGATAAATTTAACAGAACCACAAATGTAACCAAACAAATAACTAGCATTGGACATAATGTTATCAAACAATGTTTAGCACATGTAATAAATAATATTTCGACGACCTGTCATTCGACCTATAAGGATTTATATATCTGGGACCAAAACACTATTTGAATATGAATTAATATCTCGAATCCGTAGAAACTTAAAGGAAGTGTAAAGTTTGTTATATAAGATTGGTATTGATGTGTTTGTAAAATTATATGGTAAATGAATGATGATGAAAGCAGTTCCTGAACATGACACATTAATGGAATTTAATCCAATACAAGGCTAAGAGCCTGTTTTTTTAATTGGTGGGCACTCGTATTGATATCAAAGGAATTATTATATATATGATATCAAAGAAATTATTATATATTTATAGTTATCAGAATGAATAAATTCATTTTTAGCTTTATGTTAAAAAATTAAAAGTATAATATGCATGTACATTTTTATCCTTTTAAAGTTATAATTTTTATTTTTATTTGTATATACTCTCCATTATACAATTCAAGGTCAATATTAAGATTATATATTTAACAAATTTGCATCTAAGTGTATGCAAATTGTTACATCTGTTTGTAATTTCGGAACAAATCTTCCGCTGATTGAGCATACTGATTTGGCCAATCTGCATGCAAATATAATCGATAATGGTATGCATAAGTACATCAAATTCTGGAATATCGATTTAAAATAATTAGCTTTGGGCTTTGTAGCATCAATCAATTTAAGATAGCACTTGAAAATTTTGTTGGCAGAAACGAATACCGTTTGGTAAAACACATTTAAATAACACTATTACATGTAAAAACACTAAAGCTTCTATTTCGTTAAATTTTTTAGGGGGTATCGAATCAATTTCCTTCTATAATTTTTTACCCTCGAAAGACTAGCAGCAAAGCGAGTCCCCTTACTTTTGTTGCAGATCTTCTTGGCATCCGACCGCAAGAATACGCTTGCTCTTTCTGACCTTTACGCTACAGGACGTGTAAATTTTTTTTGCTTCTGAATTTTTATGTACTTGCAGTTTGAGTGTCTTCAAGATATTAATGTATATTCAGCTCCTGGGATAGTGAGTTTCCCATCTTAGGCTTTATTTCCACCTACTGAATCATATACAGGCTTTGTCTAGCTTGTTTTAAGAAACTAGAGTAACATTTCTATAAGAAATTTATATTTATTATAAGAATATATTATGATTCATTGATTGATTTTAGACAATTAGAAATTACAGTAACATAAATATGCTTTTTAAAATAAAAAACTGGCACTTTTTTTCTGACCTCTAATCTGCAAGACTTGGTAAATAAGCACTGACTATTATGAGTATATAGATTATAGTGAATAAAAACAAAAAGCTTTTAAATTATAGGTTCAAACAAAGTACGAGTATTTTTATTACACTTCTTTTATTTCGTACTTTTCGACGTAAGATCTCATTACCACCTGTTATATAACTTAAGTCACATTTTCTGGTCTTAAAATTAATATGTAATATAGAAATTTATATCAATTATAGTTAGAAGGACAAAATTTTTAACAAAGCATTCTTTTCTCAACCTTCAAAACGAGTTTTTGAAAGGTTAAATGAAAAATAATCGTTCTTCACACACAATATCCTTAATATCTTGTATACAAAGAAAAATGAACGTTAAAAAAGTTTTAATACAGCATCAATATAAATAATAACTGAGAAAGTATTGCTACGTTAAATTATAATTATATAAGGTAATGTATCTTAAATAAACACTACTTGGACGTGTTTAGTTGATGGATGGTTGGATGGATTACAACTATATTAATGTTCCCATGAAACGGATGCATGAAGCGTTACAGGCTAATCTAGGGCTAGAGCCTCTCAGGCTTATTACTTCACTCTCACTTGACTGACTCACGATGAAAACGTTATGTCTGAGGTAAATTTAGAAACATTTTAAATGAATTATCACAAGACAACTTTTACCCTCAGTTTCGTTTAATAAAATAATATAAGAAAATAATATAAGCAGGTGAAGAACAGACATACATATTTTTTTCCTATAAGTAGTATTCTCTCATTTTGGACTTAAAATACTCCTAGTTCTTTATTTACGTTTATACTCAGCTCTCGATAAAGAAGCCTCTGTTAGTTTCTAAGAATATAAAGTATAAATAGGAATACGGTTGGAACTGTTTTCAATCACTATATTAAAGTTTATTCATATTTTGAACTATATCATACTGTTTTTTTATTTTAAGCTAAGATTCTATGGTATAATAATAGATGCACGATAATTAATACTGAAAAGTAGTCTCAATAATATACAAAAAGATTTCTCAATAAAACTTCTGCTGTCATAAGAATTTTATTTTAATCACAGCTCCTATTTATATATATTTTTTAAAAACATAATATGTATATATACTCGTATAGACGAGTATAAAAGAATACGTGTAATTGTTTCAAATTCAAATATGAGAGAGATATTGAAAAAAATTATATAATAGTTTGGTATTGTTTTTATTAATTTTTATTAAAGAAGAGAAGCTAAGAATCGATAGTCATGATCATAAAATTATAAAAATAGTTACATTCAGGAAGACAATGCAATGACTAAAACTTTTTTTTTTTGTAACATATTCTTCTACAGAAATATTGTTGAAATATAAGCAATTAAGTTTTCTTAAATGGTCTGAAAAATCTATTTTTTATAAAACTTCTTTAAGAAGTCATTACTTCGAATTTCACATTGTAATGTTTTGATGCCTAAAGATGGCTTCATTTTTTTTAAATAAGGTTATGTATCTGATAAGCGTTGGTAGAGAATTTAATTTATAATGTAAACTTACTGTCTCTTTTTCTCAGCCCATTCATCAGCGTGTTCCTGAGCCACTTTTTCTAAATGTTCCCTCGCTCGTTCCGACTTCGTGAAGACTTGTAGCCGCCTCGCGACATCACCCTCTACTCTTTTCAACGTTAAGTCGTCACGGGCTCTCTCATCCTTAGAGACAATGTTATTGTTGAAGGAACTAATATTATGTTGTGTTATCATCACATATATTGTACAGGTACATACCAACATTTTCATTTCCATGTGGATCCTATCCATGAATTGATTGTACAAATATTTACGATACTGATTAAACTCCTTCAGTGAACAGACTGCTCTTCCATCTTTGGTGCAATAGCCGAGCAATTTCATCCGATTCCTCGCTGGTTTCTGTGCAAAGTGATGTGCCAAGTGGGGATCATGCATGGGCACGTAGTCATATGATACATTGTTGCAGTATGGGTCTGTGAGGTCGAATGTTGGTCGAGGTGCATTAGTTCCAAGACCGAGGCGTCGGACCTAGAAATTAACAAGAGATTTACTTGTTACTTGTTTGCACATAAGCATATTTCTTCGGTTTTTTTTTGTTTCCTGTTAATACAAAATGTGTTTGGAACATTTAACTAGCCGGATTTCATTTTAATCCCTCTATTCGTTGGGTGTTTTAAGTTATATGTTACATAAATTGCTTTTATTTGCTAGTATTTTTAAAGTTTTCATAATGTTACTATTTAATTGTTGAGATTTTGAAGTACATATATATTTTTAAAAAATGATAGGTTTAAATCTATCTTATCTGAGGTATTTTTAACTCACTTTTTAAAATTTTTGTTAATTGCTTTGATATTTTAATTGTAGACGCCTGTAAACATTTTAAGGCTTTACATTTAGTCGCCATGTTTCTCGAAATTATATTATTTTAATGTTATAAATTATTTACTTACTCACTTACTTATAAATACCAAAACACAAACTAGATTTTTATTTTTGACAGAAAAAAAATCGGATATTAAAGACATTTTTTATAAAGCAGATTGGGTTGAATAAGCGGTGGTTAAATAGAAATAATATCTCCATTAATATAAAACAATAGGTTCTCAATTATAGATTGTGAATGGAGTTAGAGCAACAAAGGACATCGACATAATGAAAGGAAATAGTCTTAGTAACGTTAAAAAGCATCGTTCAATCTGAAGTCGGGAAACCGGTGTCCATTTACATGAATTATCCTTTGAACAATCGACCTTTGTTCCCTTTACTAAGGATTTGTAACTTTAATTACTATTTACAACATTAATAGCTATTTCCATTGAGATTTTAGCTTTTAGTAACTATCTATTTATAGGATTTTGTTTATTTTGCAAGTTACCATGACTGTTTTGTCCAGGTCAATTCGTATGCAGTTTTTATGTAGTGGAGATTTTACTAATAAAATTTTATTTAAAAAAATGTAAAAGATATGATACGGATTTTTATTATAGATTGGAAACATATAAGGGAGAGGTTTTAAATATTTTTTACTAAGAACTTAATCGTTATATTCATTTATTTAAGACGGTTTTCTATTTACAACTTCTATTTACAACCTTTAACAAATAGGTATATGATTGGTTCCATTAGAATGATATTCTTATCAGTGAATAGTAGGTATATGCAGCGCACATAATTTGAAATCTATACACAAACAATGACGTAACCCCATACTAATGTAATGACTAAAGTCTTATCTGTAATATAATTTCGTGCCTCATTCATTCATTAAGGGTTATATAAAACTGTAATTTTGTACAACTGAAACTAACCGTGTTGTCATTAGTGAGGTAAAGATTTACGGTGACTGAAATCGTTATTCCGTTTACTATTTACTGAGTGACTTCCTCCCCTCGGTCTGAAAAGAGCAGGAAATTGCGACGGATTTTCATCACGACGAAAACCGTCTAGATGGTTATTTACGTAATTGCATCTTAATGCTTATTATCATTTATATTACGATAAGACAAATGTTTCCAGGTAAGATTTGTGTATATTTAAACGGATTCATTATTCTATAAAATGAGAGTAAAATTTTATTATTCTCGTCGCGAACCTCATTTATCTGTTTTTAATGGAAAGCTTGTTTTACCCAAAACATAGTATTTATTCCTCTTGAGTTCATTTCTACATACCGTAACATTTTGAGTAATGAATGTTAAACTGAGCTTCATATTGAGGCGAGCTCTGGATGTAAGCCAAACCAACGTGTGTCTAACGTTTAGAAGATTACAGAGATTTTGCCGACGGCTGTTTAAAATTTGTTTTGAATAATTTATACGAAGTGTATTTACCGACTTTAAAAGTAAAATAACAAGATGTGTCGAATTCCTGATATGTTTACTTAAAAAACATTAAATATTAGCCTAAAAAAAAAAACAAATCTTTTTTTTTTTGTGGGGGTGATAAATATCATAGCTGAACAGAACATGTATATATTTTTTTAAAGTCAATGACATGGCTAGTCACCTCGAGCGATATGTAAGTGGTGAGAAGCAACTGACTCCTCGAAAAGTGATGCTCACGAGATACTCAAGTAGAAATAAATCTTTGGATATTCAAATAGAATGCTTTAATGAATGCCATTTGTAAATTATTATAGTACAGGCTGGTGCCAGCGCATTTATCCATATATTAAAACTTCTCTGTTATATGCGTTATTATAATCAGTGAGGTTCTACTCGATCTCTCAAAGATTTTAAATAAGAAAATGTATTTTTAACATTTACTCTACTCCAGGACAGTGTCCATTAGATTAAACAAAACTCCAAAAAAAGTTTCTTAAGTTACTCCCTACCCTATGCTATAAAATTCATGCAAGTGAAATTGCCTGTAAAACCATTAAAGCTGTTATTGAGATTAGCCTGAACAAACAGAAAGACAGACAGAGGGGCAGAAATTAAAATTTAATTCAGTAGTATACGTATATAAATGTATATAAAAATGCGTATGCGTATCACGCATTGTCTTTTCACATACTTATATCATTCTTTTTATTGCTCTTCGTCTTAAAAAGGATCTATATTTAAAATGCATATTTCCATGTTTCGTGATATTGTCTAACCTATTTTATGTCTTATGCGTGGTGTGATCAATTGAGGTATGTAACCGTCACTATGACTGACGGTAGACTAAGTTAGATTGATTTTTGTCAACGTCACTCTTTCTGCCGATTCCATTCTTTATTATTCACGTTAATGAAAGTACTATACTTAATTTGACTGGATATACAAAATATACATACTTTTTCAATTGTGTTTCGACAAAGTCCAATATAAACTTTTTCCAACGTTTTATTTACAATTGAAAGATTTAATTGACACTCGGAATCCAAGTTAATAAAATTTTTTTTATTAAATCGGAATGAATGAAAATGCGAAAGAATTATATATAAATAAACCAATACACCAATTTAAGAAATATATAAATCAAGTAAATCTATTAGATGGATTACTGTTATATCAAATACTTTTTGTTTTCTATATTGCTCATGAAGTCTTCTTATCATATATGCAGAAGCATGGTTAGACGTTTGGATAGGATATTTATATGTGCATAGAAAATACACATGAATGTATGGACTTACGTATATACTCACTTCTCGTAAGGAAAGCAAAAAATTTTCAATATACTCTCATGAAAAATGTAGCTTTATAGCAGAATAAAGTATTGTTTTATACTTAATAATACCTGTAATGTATCATATATAAATTTCAATAAATCTTGCCGGTGAGAGGGTTGCGAGTTTTGATTCATGAGGCTTCCCCTTACTTTTAAAGACTTAAATAGATTTGAATTTCAAATGAGCGTAATAGTAATCTTTATTACGTATCCTGAATTATTAAAGATTTATGGTTTTTGTAATCACTGGGATCATATAACATTAAACAAAAACAACTCCTAGATATAAATGTACGTATATATATGTATATAATTATTTTAATTATTGTCACACGACGGAATAATATAAGGTATAACATTGTTTCTATGAGTTTGAGATACATATACATATATTTATTGACTTAATATTATATACTATCTAAACGTTTTGATACATCACTTTCAAAATTCAATCATCATGTTAGTTTGGTATATCTAAAATCATTTTTATAATAAAAGTATAATACACCCCAAACATAGTATTTGTCAATGTTACTCACATCCTCTCCAATTTTTCCGCGCGAGAATATGATTTTACCCTCGGGCATTTTCGGTACCGGCAATTTGCACTCGAGTCCCAGTCTGTACCAGAGAGGCAAACCATTCTTTGGAACAGCTCGTATCGGTTTTGGTATAGAATCGATAACTTTTTTCAATTCCGTCGGTTTCCTGAGAGTCATCAAAGTCGTATCCACGTCCAGAATATCATCGAGTTCAACTGATGTTGTCAACGACGACATGTTTTGATTTTCAAAATGTAAAATAAATAAAATAACCACAAAAAATGCTTGTGACGCTTCACGGCATGATACACTAAAAATTTTGACATTTGCTTTTTGGACGTCGAAGGGTTAATGGTTTTTTAATTGCATTGTTTTTGGCCTATATCGCTCAACTCTTATTCATATTTGAAATTTATATTTTTATCAAATCACGTATGATTTCGCTAAATAAGGCGCGTTTTTATATGAAAAAATGTGTCACAAATAATGATAGTAAATATTAATAGAGTAATTAAATATATTTTTGTCATTATTTAAATTTCAGACAAAGGGCTAATTTCTAAAGTTGTATTAAAGATTTACTAGGCTATACCTAGTATAAGATTGTGTTTTAGCACGTAAAGTTGTCACGAATCCAAGCGGTCGTTGCTCCCTTGTAAAAATTACTGATTCACTTATTCCCAACCACAATTTGAATACCTAAATAGGGTTTAGTAAGTTAATCGGGTTTTGTTTTGTTCTGTCAATATTAATTGGAGTTTACATTACACTAACTGTCCTAACTGATTCCATGATTGTATTAGTAAAGAAAATTAAAACGCTTTTCAAATATAATATAACTATATTTTATTTATATTGACGTTTTCATTAATGTATATCTTTCTGATTGAGGATTTTCAATCTAGAAAATGAATAGCAATGGGACATTGCATTAGACTTTTAAATAAATAAACTGTTAATTAAACGTATGCATTTTTAACCACGTAACATGTAGTAGATTTAGTATGTAATAAAACATATATATATATTTTAGCAAAAAGGGTTGAGAGAATTGGTCACTGCATTACCACGTATAAACTTATTAGTGGAGTTGAATCAAGAACAGCCCACTCTGCCAAGTTTGTTGAGTGGTAATGGATATGGAGCGTCCGATAAGTTATCGCTGATCAAATGAGGGTTAGTGTATCTGATAATGGAAGCACTAGGCGTGTAGCAAATTTGTTGGCAAACTCCTATCTAATGGAATACCTCTACGTATGGAAAACTTTTTGTACTATATGGTGTCCTTTTTATATGTCTTGTTAATAGTTTTAATTTAAATTTTAATGAAGTTTATTTGTATAATTAATAGGACAGTGCTTGGTGCTAGGAGAAAAAGTAGCTTACAGGTGGTATAGCCTAGCTGTGGTCAGTTACTACAGCTCGAACATGGGCTGGCTCGACCGGGGAAGTACCACCCTCTTACAGAAGACCGGCGTGAAGAGTCAGTAATGACTGCGTTTCGTCCGATGAATGAGAGAGCCGGTTGCCCTTTCCTTATTCCTACCCTTTCCTACCATTTCCTTATACCCACCCCTCCCTATCCCTAAAAAAACAAAGGTTAGCAACGCATCCGCAACAAAGATGTTGCGGATGTCCATGGGCGACGGTAACCACTTTCCATCAAGTGGGCCGTCTGCTCGTTTACCACCTTTAACATAAAAAAAATCGGAAGGTAGTAAAGGCGGAAGTTCATTGTTTTAGTCTATCTGCATCTGAAATTTCCTCTATTTTTTTAATGATTTAATCATGATTATGAAAATTACTGATTTTATTTATGATATATAACATTGTTTAGTAATTAAGCGAAGAAATATTTATATCTGTTTTAAATGGTTCAGATTTCAACGGTTACGGTTACGGTTACGGTTACGGTTTGAATTCAATTGTTTTTTCAATTTCATTTCATGATTCAAATTGGAACTCTTATCTGTTTGTTAGGAACCATATTTTATAAAAATATGAAGTTGGGAATCAGATATTTACCTGTAATATTAAGAATATCAAAGACCCTTTTGGGTTGGAAAATATTAAACTCCTACATCAACCCCATCTAAAAAGCTGTCTACGCTCCTTATATTTCGAATATTTTGGCTTTCGTACGGACTTCTGATAACATTATTTACTGTCTATACAAAAACTATGAAATTTGTCAAATAACAAGAAATGTAGTAAAGAAACGACGGCAAACTAAAATTTCAAAATTATATTAAAAAATAATATCTATTTCTAGATCAAAAACAAACTATTACCTATGTCAATGCGTGGATAATAGAAATTTTAGTCGTAAAAAACGTCGTATTCTTACAAACATTTTACAAACATACTTCGGAATACGGCTTAGAGGAACGTCTCTTAATTGGGAATCACAGGGATTTGTGTTTTTCCAATCGTAATACCTTACTTAATATGGGAGGTTTTAGAAAGTATATATAATTTCCAAGAATAATAACATGTAACATGAAGTCTAAGAGTTTTGTAAGAATATATTTTCTTGGAAGACGGGGTGTAGGAGGGGAGAGGTCGGATTAGGAGGTATTATTGATAATGAAATCCCCATATTGTTTTCTTTCTGTGTCCTAAAATATACCTATATCTAAAAAAATATCGAACCCATTTATTATTCTTTCAATGTAAATTTAGTATTATGAATCATAAATTTATAGAGTACTTACTATCGCAGAGGTTAACTTAAGGTTATCATTAATTACTCTTGTATTATTTTTATTTTCTCAGCTCTAACAAACCGCAACAAAAATAATTAAACCCTGACATTGAAGGAAAACATATCGCTAAGGTTGCGGCTTTAATAAATATCATGTTATATTTTAATTAAAACTTTACATAACAAAGTGATTTAGATGAAATATAAAAGATAGAAGTTATATTAATAATTTCATGGCAATAACATTAGTTATTGAGGAAATTAGTCAAAAAATAATTAGGCAAAACTATTCACAACATGTAAAGCAGACCCTTGCTAAAGCTGGGGAATTGCCAGATAGAAGAAGAAAATTATATATATATTGAGTAAATATCAATTATTTAACTATGTATATTTTCTTTAAACCCCCGTTAGTTATCTTTAAGAGAGATTATATTAAAATTATTTAAAAAACAAAATGAAACACATTATTCTAGTTCTTAGTATGATTTAAATTCACATTTCAACTTGGTATTAACATTTATTTAGACCAAGTTCATCGGTCAAGGCGAAGGGTTGTTCTAGCTAAGCCTGTTTGTGGTTATAGCCTTGGTGTTAGCGATGTATTGTAGTTCATGTACGGTTGAACATACATGTTTCTTATAGATAACATCTTTATTGACTTGCAATTACATTAAGGGTCTACTGAATTTTTTATTTACATCAGACTTCGTTACTAGAAATAATCATTCTATTTTATTAATATAAGATACTGATATTATGTAGGTAGATATTATTTTTGATAGAATAAATGATTACTGACCCGTCACATGATAAAATAAAAGAAAAATGTGAAGATTCCAACGTATATTTTGTGAAGAATTTATAATTCATTAGTATTATTTTCAGATTTTGATAGACATCTTTTGAAGGGGTGTACTAATATAAGATTGTAAATTCTTCACAATGAAAACATAAGCCAGGTTTCTTGAAAAATAAGTAATAAGACTGTTCAGTTCTACTTATAAATGGAAGTCAACATAATTTTAATAGGATTTATAAATGAAAAGGTCACAGATTATTTTTATCAATTTCAATATTTGATCTTGGTAGAAACAAATTAATAATTATAAATACTTTTAAAATATAATTATTTTATTTGCCAATTTATTTTGTCAAAGCACCTTAATTAAACTACTCTAAGTAATTTCGAATGATTCACTGAATAACGCATCTAATGGAATGTAGAGTTGTTGTTTTCAGTATGTCAGACATCTGTAGTTTCTCACTGGGTATCTGTCACTTGTATACAATTGCATAATCGATAGCTCGGTTGTAAAATACTTAATAGTTCATGTATTGAACATTTATAAGCAAATAATTTAAAAGGTCAAAACTCACTAAGTACGAAGTGAATTAAAAATACAGTAAAGTGACTGCCATCTTTCTTTTATAGATGGATGCTATCCACTGGTAACTTTGAAAGAATCCTATTTTTATCTTTTTAGTTTGCAAAATATTTTTTTGTAATTGACGGTCTTTGCACTCGTTGGTACATGGAAATAAAGCCGAAGTTCTAGCACGAACCAGCCTTAATTAATGAAGTGTGCTAGTATTGAAGACACCTAAATTAATATTGGAAGGAAACAAACATAAGGGGGGGGGAAAACTGTTCTAATCCTTTGCTACTTGCATGAGGTAGGGGGTTGTGGATTGCTGCGCCAGAATGTGAGGAAGGTCTGCAACGAAAATATGGAGACTTGTAGTGCCTCTAGAGGTACAATAGTAAAAGGTAATAGAGAAATAAAATTGTGTAATTCCTGTACACACTCTCCAAAGTGTATCCTGTATGAGAGACTGCATAATTTACGCCAGTGCTTAAGTTTGTTTAGATTGAGTTTATCCCAATTATGCTCACCAGATTTTTTTTTTGGCATCCACGGAGTAAATAACAGCCAGGTGTCATTAAGCAGCGCCTGCATAAATGTGGCAGCAGTACTCCAAAAGGAGTCTCTTGTTCTTTTTTTTGGGCTATGCTCTCAATTAACCGTCCACAATTAAAGGATTCATCAAATCGAATAACTACCATTAATTTAATTTAGGTCTTCTTTTATACTGTCCACTTTTAATTATTTTTAATTAATCTATTTTAAATATCCACATATTATAAAATTAATAATCATTATTTACTGATAAATAAAATAGAAAAAATCAAGACATAATCATCCTATACCAAACTAAAGACGCCCATTTTTATTTGTTTACTTTAAGTGAACTTCGCCTTTTTAAGACATATCTAATGAATTTCTCACTAGCGGTCAAACTGTTTGACAGTGAAGGGCGAACATTTTACACGTCTCCACAAACATACATACATATATTGTTACGCTAACAAATACACCCTCCATTTTAGGTTTCACCAATCCAGGTAGATACTGCTTTATTATTATTGTGTATAATATTTTTGCTCAATAGATATAAACGAAATTGACCAGGTGGTATTATATCCAATCTGTATATAGTTTCTGTTATAAAGATGTATACTAAATTTATT